AACGCTTGAAGAGGCCACGGCAGGGCCCCTCTTTCTTTTGAAAACGACAGATCTGGGGGATTTCTGTTGTGTGCAGAAGAAAACATGTTAAAGTGAGCATTTCACATCATTTGCACAAATTACTATGGCTGCTAAAGAGTGAACATAATGCTTATGTTATTTTTTTTTAACCATAACTGCCCTCAGAACTCTCATAAAAAGTCAATTTAAGATGCTATGTGTATTGTTTACATAGCTTATACGTGTATTCAGAGTGGAAGTTTAAAATAAACGTACTTGGAATCCTGAAGCATGTTTTCTGACATTCCAAAAAGGACTTGAAGTTGTTTGCGTTTCCCTCACAACCGCTATAGCTGAATTCTTCACACTGTTGAGTGATTGTATTGTAGTAATAACGCTGGATGTCGTCATTGCACGTTCCTTCTTCAACTTGCGACAGGCAAACTTCTGTGGGGGGATAAGATGCTATGTGTATTGTTTACATAGCTTATGCGTGTATTCAGAGTGGAAGTTTAAAATAAACGTACTTGGAATCCTGAAGCATGTTTTCTGACATTCCAAAAAGGACTTGAAGTTGTTTGCGTTTCCCTCACAACCGCTATAGCTGAATTCTTCACACTGTTGCGTGATTGTATTGTAGTAATAACGCTGGATGTCGTCATTGCACGTTCCTTCTTCAACTTGCGACAGGCAAACTTCTGTGGGGGGATAAATTACGCGTTAAAAAAATAATAAACCTCAACGTCAAATTCACGTGCAACTGTCCGGTTTCATTGTCAGGTTTCAACAAAACAACGCATCTGTTTCGCCCATTTTACTACAACTTTTGAAGAAGCCATTAAAAGAGTCAAATGTTTTCTTTACCTTTGGATTGTAGTCCGATGGCGCTTTGCAGGACAGCAACAATAAGCAAAAGACCTCCAAGCAAATCACACGCCATTGTGATAGAGTTTATTCTGAGGTCTCGTAGTAGTCTGATATGGTACAAACTGTTATGTTACTCGCCTGATAAGTTACTAACTTGACTTCTCACAATCGTTGCCTTATAAATGGAGAATTTTTTAGGGGTGGAATTGGAAGGGCGGGCTATACTTAGTCATTTCCATGACAATTCCACGCAGTACTACAGCAAATTGCGTCTATTCCCAAAGTAGGAAATAAATAATGACTTCATATTTCATGACTTTAGAATTATATCAAAGCTAAACTTAGTATTACTACAACTATTATATAATATTAGGCTTTATATAGCCTATATATAACTATTACTAATAATAATGCACTGTAAAATATTTATCAAAGAAGGTTTATTGGAGTACGTTTTATGTTGTATTTTATAATAGGCTACTACGACTAGCCACTATACGACAAAAATACTACGACTTAGAAATACGACGTCCAAATTTTACGTTAGTTTAATGTGTTTCTTGCCTTTCTTTATAATTATTTTTTTAATTTACTAGGCA